GCTGCGAACATGTATAAGGACTTGAGGAAACATTACTGGTGGAGGAGGATGAAGAAAGACATAGTGGAATATGTAGCTTGGTGCCTAAATTGTCAGCAGGTGAAGTATGAGCATCAGTGGCCGGGTGGGTTGCTTCAGAAGTTAGAGATTCCGGAGTAGAAATGGGAGCGAATCACTATGGACTTCATTGTTGGACTTCCACGGACTCAGCGAAAGTTAGATGCAGTTTGGGTGATTGTGGATAGGCTGACCAAGTCAGCTCATTTTGTTCCTGTGATGACTACCTACTCTTCCGAGCAATTGGTTCGAATCTATATTCGTGAGATTGTCAGACTTCACGGCGTACCAGTATCTATGATCTCTGACCGGGGTACACAGTTTACATCACGGTTCTGGAGGGCAGTACATCATGAGTTGGGTACTCGGGTAGAGTTGAGTACAACATTTCACCCTCAGATGGACGGGCAGTCCGAACGCACTATTCAGATACTTGAGGATATGCTTCGTGCGTGTGTGATAGATTTTGGGGGTGCTTGGGATCAGTTCTTACCACTTGCGGAGTTTGCTTACAATAACAGTTATCGGTCGAGCATTCAGATGGCTCCGTATGAGGCATTGTATGGTAGGCGATGTCGGTCTCCAGTGGGTTGGTTCGAACCGGGCGAGGCTAGACTATTGGGTACAGACTTGGTTCAGGATTCCTTGGAAAAGGTTAAGTTGATTCAGGATCGACTTCGTACAGCCCAATCTAGATAGAAGAGTTATGCGGATTGGAAGGTTCGTGATGTTGCATTCATGCTTGGTGAGCGGGTCCTGCTCCGGGTTTCGCCTATGAAGGGGGTGATGAGGTTCAGAAAGAAGGGCAAGTTGAGCCCTAGGTATATTGGACCTTTTGAGATTCTTGAGAGAGTTGGAAAGATAGCTTACAGACTTGCACTACCACCTAGTCTCTTTGCAGTTCATCCGGTATTCTATGTTTCTATGCTTCGGAAATATCATGACGATCCGTCTCATGTGTTAGAGTTCAGTTCGGTTCAGTTGGACAAGGATCTATCTTATGTTGAGGAACCAATGGCTATTTTAGATAGGCAGGTTCGAAAGCTGAGGTCAAAGAACATTGCTTCCGTGAAGGTTCAGTGGAGGGGTGATCCAGTCGAGGAGGCGACTTGGGAGGCCGAGCATGATATGCGCAGCTGTTATCCACACTTATTCACCAGCTCAGGTATTTTTTTTCTAACTCCGTTCGAGGACGAACGTTTATTTTAGAGATGGAGAATGTGATGACCCAAAATGTCATCTTTAAAGTTAATAATTAATTTTGTGTTCTAAAACCTCGAAAAGAACTATTTATCATTACTCGACTTGCGTGCGCAGTTCGTAAAATTTTCTGGAAAGTTTTTATGTGAAAAATGGATTAAAATGTGAATTAGAGCTTTAAAACTCAACTTTGAGCAAACAGACTTAGACCAGTGTTTTAACAGTTTCGGTAGGTCCGTATCGTGATTTGGGACTTGGGCGTATGCCCGGAATCAAATTTTGAGGTCCCTAGCCCAAGATATAGAATTTTGATGAAATATTAAAGGTTTTAAAAGCTTAAGTTCAAATAGTGACTGGATGTCGAATTATGTGCAAATGACCCCAAAATAGAATTTTGATGATTCCAACAGCTCCGTATGGTGATTTTGGACTTAGGAGTGTGATCGAAATTTTATTTGGAAGTCCGTAGTGAAATTAGGCTTGAAATGGCTAAAACAGTAATTTAAGTTTGGAAGTTTGACCGGGGAGTTGACTTTTTGATATCGGAGTCGGAATCCAGTTCTGAAAATTGTTATAGCTCCGTTATGTCATTTATGACTTGTGTGCAAAATTTGAGGTCAATCGGACTTGATTTGATAGGTTTCGACATCGAATGTAGAAGTTGAAATTTCTAAGTTTTATTAAGCTTGAATTGGAGCATGATTCGTGATTTTAGCATCGTTTTATGTAATTTGAGGTATCAAATAAGTTCGTATGATGTTTTAGGACTTTTTGGTATATTTGGTTGAGGTCCCGAAGGCCTCGGGTGAGTTTCGGATGGTTAACAGATCAAAAATTGGACTTAAAAAGCTGCTGCAATTTTTCTCTTCTGCTGGATATTCTGGGTTGTGATCGAGCCCAAGATCGAGCCCAGATATCGAGCCCAGGGTCGAAGCCAGAGACGAGGCACAGGCTCGATGCCATGATCGAGGCCATGATTGAAGGCCCAGGCTCGATGCCATGATCGAAGGGCCAAGCTCGATGTCATGATCGAAGGCTCAGGCTTGATGCCATGATCGAAGGACCAAGCCATGATCGAGGTCCAGGATCGAACTTGTGATTGAAGCCACGATTGAGGTCTAGGCTCGAGAGCCATGATCGAATCCACGATCGAGGCCCAGTTCTGAAGGCTGCCTAGGCAGATTTATAAAAGAGGGCATTCGTCTCATTTGCCATTTTTGACGAACTTGAGCTTGAGCAGAAGCGATTTTTGACAGATTTTCAAGGAAAAATATTTGGGTAAGTGATTCTAACTCGGATTTGGTCAATATACACGAATATATCATTGTTTTCACAATTTAATTAGTATATTGAGATGGAAATTTGGGAAAGTTTTTGAAATTTCATAAAAATGAATTTTTGAGATTTCGGTATCGATTCAGAGTCGGATTTGAGTGAAACTGATATAGTTGGACTCGGAATTGAATGGGTTATTGGATTTTGTAAGTTTTGTCAGATTCCGAGACGTGGGCCCCACAGGTGATTTTTGAGCTAATTTCGAATTTTATTGAAACATGTAGCATTTTCTTATGAAGTTGATTCCTATAATTTTTGTTGACTGTATAGAATTAATTATGACTAGATTCGAGTCGATCGGAGTCAAAAAATCGAGAAAAAGGCATACTACTTGATTAAATTGGAGCAAGTCGAGGTTAGTGACTTGTCTAACTTTGTGTGAAAAAAATTTCCCTTAGGATTGATGATTGTAATGAGTGAAAAGTCATGTACATGAGGTGACTAGTGTATACATGAGCTAAATGTGAAAGGTTATGTTTTAAATTGTGTAGATCACTGTTGCGCATTAATTAAATTATTTTATTTTGTTATGTTCTTCATCATTGATTTAATATTTATATTTTAAATTTTCTTGACGTTTTCCTGCTAATTTTTTTTATATGTTTAGTTGAAACTTGATTTCTTTTATTCTGTGCATTATTTGAAGGGTAATTTTTCTTAAATTAAATATTATTAATATAAATTATTTGACATTTTAAATTTGGTATTTAAGCAATATATTAAAGATTTTGAAATATTATTTTGTTGAATTATTTATTCCTGAATATTTTTGTTAGATTTTAGTACTCATTGTGATGGAGTCGTGAGCTCTTATTTGTGAAAAAATATTATTGATGATTTATTTTGGCATGAGCCGTGAGCTCTTTATTATGGAAAACATTGTTGTTGAGTTATTTTGGCAAGTTAATTTATTTGAGCACTTGAGGTGCAAATTGTGATATATTGTGATATTAATATGCATGCGGTGGTATAAGCTCTGGGTATTGAAATGCATGCGGTGAGATAAGGGTGGCTTGATACGCGTGACTAGTAGGGGGAACTACTAGAAGTCATGTGGTATGATAAGGATGGCTAAAACGCGAGATGCTATTTCGGAAAAAATATTTTCTTTAAAATAAATTATGAAGTCTCCCGCGGTGAGATAAGGAAATAAGATATTATGAATTTATTTATGATTTGGGACTACGAGGCGGTACCTCGGGAGTGCCCTTGTTGATGTTGATTTATGGCCGTAGTTGCCTTTGATTTGTTTGTGATTTTTCTTAAAGTTGAAAAGAAATTTTGTTTTGTTCCACGAGGTATTATTTGCCATTATTTGTGTAATTAAATGGTGACCTACTACTTGATTGATTCCCATTGTCATTTTATTTTATTATATTGTGAAATATTTTACCATGCCATCTATTATTATTTTCCAGTAGGGCCTGACCTGACCTCGTCACTAATCTACCGAGGTTAGGTTTGACACTTACTGGGTACCGCTATGATGTACTCATACTACGCTTCTGCACATCTTTTTATGTAGATCCAGGTACACCTTATCAGACCAGGCATCAGTAAACTAGCTGTACGAGGAGATTTCGAGGTATATCTGCCAGCGACCACAGACTCCCGAGTCCCCTTCTATCTTACTATGTTGTCCTCCTTATTTGCTTTAGACTCTGATGTATAGAGATATAAAGAATAAATTCCTAGAAGCTTGTGACTTATTTCTACTAGGTTTTGGGAGTTGAAATTGTTTGAATTGTAGTTTATTTATTTCAGATTTAAATTTTTATTCCGCATTGATAGGCTTACCTAGTCTTAGAGACTAGGTGCCATCACGACATCCTACAGAGGGAATTCGGGGTTGTGACAGAGCCTTTGTGCTGTGGTCACTGACCAAGAAATATTTGAAGCTCTGTATGCAATTGGAGATGATAAAGCACTAGGTGTTGATAGCTATAATGCATTATTTTTCAAAAGAACTTGGACACTTGTCAGACCAGAAGTGTGTCATGCAATGAAGGAATTCTTTCATTTAGGCAAGCTTTTTAGAGCAATTAATTTCACAACCATCACTCTAATTCCTAAGGTTCCTTACCCTATAAGTATCAAGTAATATAGACCTATAGCTTGCTGTACTGTTCTATACAAACTAATTGCCAAAATTCTTGCAAACAAGCTGCAAAACGTTATTGCTTCTGTTGTGTCAGACACCCAAGTTGGCTTCATTTCTAGCAGGAAAGTAGTAGATAATGTTCTACTGGCCCATGAGTTAGTCAAGGCTTACTCAAGGAAGAATATTTTCCCAAGATGCCTCATCAAAGTGGACATTCAAAAATCCTATCATATAGTCGACTAGAGGTACTTGCATTAAGTTTTGGAATATTTGGGATTTCCGGTTCAATTTACCAATTGGATCATAGAGTGTGAGTCAACAGTGAATTATACCATTCTCATTATTGAGGAGACTACAAAGCCATTTGATGCAGCTAGAGGGCTTAGGCAAGGAGATCCTATATCTCCATTTCTCTTTGCCATAGCAATGGAGTATCTGAGTAGGAGCCTAAAGACACTTAAGCATGTTAAAATTTTCCACTATCATCCTATGTGTTCTAGATTGGACCTAACTCATTTGAGCTTTGCTGATGACTTTCTTCTCTTCACAAGAGGAGATACTACTTCTGTTGTCCTATTGCACCAAAAGTTCAACCCTTTTCAGAAGTTTCTGGGCTTAAAAGCAAATCTAGCAAAAAGCTCAATATATTATGAAGGAGTTAGCAATGAATTGAAGCATGAGATTCAACAAGCCCTAGGGTACATTCAAGGAGTATTGCCTTTCAAATATCTAGGCATACCTCTTGATACTAAGAAGCTATCAATATTGCAATGGCAACCTCTCATTGACAAAATTGTGAGCAGAATTTCTTCATGGACAACAAAGAAACTGTCTTATGTAGGCAGAATACAGATAGTACAAACAGTAATCTTTGGCATTCAAGTTTATTGGGCTCAAATCTTCATTATACCTCCTAAAGTCATTAAAGCAATTGAAGTACACTGTAGAAGCTATATATGGTCTGGGGTGAATACAATAACCAAAAAGTCTTTAGTAGCATGGGATATGATGTGTTTTCCAACAGCTGCTGGAGGGCTGAAGATGATTAACTTGGCCATGTGGAATAAGGCTGCTATCACTAAGACCTGCTGGGAGTTGGATAACAAGAAGGACAAGTTATGGATTATATGAATCCATAGCTACTATATCAAAGAGCAGGAATTCATGCATAGGGGAGTACCAAAGCAAGCATGTTGGATGGTTCGGGCAAGGGACATGCTACACCTTATTAGCAATTTGTCACAAGACATAGTTATAAAATAAGTGTACCAGCAACTACTAGGTGTACTTCCAAAAGTTTCATGGAAAGGATTTATGTGTCAAAACCAAGCAACACCAAAAGCTATCTTCACCATGTGGCTTCAAGTGCAAGAAAGAATATTAACAACTGATAGGTTGAAGAAATAGGGAATGCAGGTAGATGACACTTCCTGTTTCTGTCATCAAAAACCAGAGACACAAGATCATTTGTTTGTTGAATGCGAATATGGTAAGTGCCTATGGCATAGACTCATGCACTAGCTGCAAATTCAGTATCCTCCTTTAGACTCATGGGCATAAAATCACCAATGAATAGTTATAAAAACTAAGAGCAAATCTCAGATGGCAAGAGTACTTAAGCTAGTTTATGCAGAGTATATTCATGCATTGTGGATTGAGAGAAATATACGGATCTTTGAGAAGCAAACTACTACATGGGAGGTCCTAGCTAGGAGAGTGGCTTGCATGTGCAACTTCAGAGCTGAAGGATATATGCGAGTGTTGCTCAACAATTGTAAATATTAGTCATTAACAGGTAGAGACTAGAATGTGTATAGCGAGGCAGAGAATGTAGATTGTTTTTGGATACTTTCTTTTATCTTGTAGAGAAGATGGTCTACTCAGATTTGTAAATGTTACATTGGTGATTAATACAAAAAGTTTAATTACAAAAAAAAAGCATATTCTTAGGCTCAGCCAAAAAGCTTCAATGGTTGCTTCAAGCGTGTCTACGAACACTATTATTTGGTTTGCATAACAATGAACGAGAAATAAGAAGTCCTTATACTTTAAAACATCATCAATAACAATTACTAACATCTCAATTTTAAACAAATTAGATTGGTTAGGTGAATCTTTAATGTTCATTCTTGTTGCATTTGGAGTTGGTTTCATCCCTTTACTCTATAATTTGTCCTTTTAGGGCAAAAAAGGATTCTCGACGATTAGAAAGTCTCTAAATCTCATACCTATCTCTGCAATATTATATAAATACTAACCAAATAAAAGGCACTAGCACTTTATGTGACTGTTTCCAAAGACTGTGGTTAAGGGTTCATTATTCAATTTAAACTCACCCAATCGCTTAAACTAAAAATAGGCGGTGGAGGTATTATATATACATAATTTATGTATTATATTTGTATAATTATGTATAATCAATGTATAATGCATGTAGATGGTTAGAAAAAGTAAATAGTGAATATGACCAGCTATTTGTGTAAAGATCCCCAATATTTTCATAGATGGCCTTGTACATACATGAAATTTAAGGGAAACTACCAGTTATGTCCATTTATAAGTAGTTTAATACAAAAATTGACCAATTTATAAAACATTACTAATATTAGCCAATTAGCTATTTGTAGCCAAAAAATATTAATTTTTACTTTCTTTTGAGTGAATATTATTAAAATAGACTGGATATATCTTAAGGAGCTTGAATTTTAGTTTTGGGATGATTTGGTGGAGTTTTGAGTTGGTTTGAATTGAATTCGATATAGAAGATGAACATGAAAATAATGACACGTGTATCACATTGTGTATCATTTGTGCATCACATATGTATCATATTTGTATCAAATGTGTATCACATATATATACATGTATACATGTGGGTGAGATACATGCGTGATACACGTTTGATACATGTGTCGCTAAAGAATTTTTTTGAACTCGATTTTAACTACGAATTTTGATATCAAATTAGTCCAAATCACCTCTAATCTTTCTCAAATTTTGTATAATNTCATCACTTTATTTGTTATCTCATACATGAAATTTCCTTTCCGTTTTGTATCTAAGGTTGCTGACCACGCTTAAAAATATGAAAGGTGATCTTTGCGTGTGATTCTTGGAGAGAAAGAACCTTATTTATTTGGTTTTTCAATTTTTATATGTACTAGGCTAGTTTTGGTAAATCTCTAATTAATGGCTATAGATTGGTAAGTTGGGACTCATTTGAGACATTTATGTAAGATTTTTCGAAATTTAACGCATAGAATGACATCTAAAAGCCCAATACATTTACTTGGGTCCAAACACCAGAAAATTACACCAATGACCTTAAAAATATCTGGTCGTGATTTTTCAACCCCCTTACCCCATGAGCAAAGATTTAAGGTCGAAAGTATTGTCCGTGGGACAAGTGAAGAGTAATACTTATTAAACTTGAAGTTATGCTTATAAAGGAAACGAGATAAAAAAATTAATAGTGATACCGAAGTGTCTTATTTATGCAAATCACCTGGTTAACAATTATTTATGCAAATCACCCGGTTAACACATACGGATGAACTACAAATTTCAAACAGAATTGAGCCCAATTCCAAGTGGTCAACATTAGCATTATCTGAGGCGACATCCCACAAAACTCTATTACGACTTACTATTGCTCCCATTGGGATAAGGGTTATCATGTAGTGGTTTGCGCTGAATTTTTCGCAAGCACCATAGACCTATACATACTATTTTTAAAAAAATATTATTCAAATATACTTTTTTTCAGTGTGTCTTTTTTTGCTTTGACGTTACCTGGCTCAATATGCCATTCTGTTAATTGCTAGGGGTCTTTGTTTTACATGGATTAGGCTTAGCCTGGGTTTCATAAACGTTCCTTGAAGCAATTTTATGCGTTTGTTCTTTAAACTCTATAGGAGATGTTCAAATGCATTGCTAGTAAAAGAAATAGATTGGCAATTAGATATTTAGACTAGAGGAAATCTTTTCACTTTAATTAGAAACAACACAGAAGTACAAAAAAGGAACTAGAATCACATTCTCAAAATACTGGAACATCCCATGCGTTATTTTGAGATGTCTATATTAACATGTGATTTGTTAACATCATCAGTGCAATCCAAGTTCATGAATCAGCCTCACATAATTTTGTATTTTGTCCAATTATTATTTGCAAATATTAATTTGGTTGTAAAACTTTCGATTTAAAGTGAAATATTGAAATACTAGTTAAAGGTGTAGATTTTCCACTAGCAATTCTTTACATTTCCTAAATCTTTTTTCCAAGTGCAGCTCACGTCCAAACACTTCTGCTAACTTTTTTTTTTTTCAATTTTAACTTCTAAATACTCTTTTTCTTTTCCCGACTTCAACTCAAATTTGTCCAAATGCCTGAACGTACCATATCCACAAGTACTTCACTACAACCTTCAATTTTACGTGTGCAAAACAAGTAAAGCTGATCATAAGAAATTTACAAAATCAGATCCCATCTCAGCTGATTCTATTCATGGTTAAAGGCCAAATGATCAATAATTCTACTCAATTTCCCAAACAGTGTAGCAAGACTACTTGAAGGGTGTGAAAATGTTGCTCTTTAGGTTTCTGCTCCTTAGGATGTTTAGCTACTACATGTTGTGTTTGCTCAAAATGAGAATTCCGAATTTAAAAAAGAAAAGAGAAAAACAAAAGGAAAGAAAGCTGCATAAACTCTGTCAAACTTTATATAGTACTTTGTGCAGCAAAGATAGAATTTTCACAAAGGGGATTTAAGAAAAAAATTAAACACTCAAAAAAAATAAAGGGAATTCTAATGGAACACAAATAGTTGTTGAAAGTGATGCTTTTCCATTGCCTTTGCTGCGTAAATTTATACAATGGATTTGTGAATCCAAATCTAAGAATCTAAGTAGATAAGTACAACAGATATTTACGCGAGAGTTAGAATGTGAGGAAACTTAGGACTTTAGTTGATAGCAATTTAAAACTAAGTGAGTCACGTGGATAATGCGAAGCCGTTATGATTTTGAATCTCAGTATCAAATTCAACATCTAATATATATATATATATAATACTTAATTTTGACCTTATATATACTGTGTAATTTTCTGGGAGAGAGGGTTCATCCCTAGTTGAACAGAACAATACATTCTTTAACTGACTTGGTTTTGGGTCAACTTAAAGCCACTTCGCTAGCGTTTGGACATAGATTTGATTGAAACTTGAAAAAAGAGTTTTTGAAGTTATGTTGAAAAATAATTTTTGAAAGTTGAAGTTGTATTTAGACATTCATTTTATTTGAAGAATAGTTGAAGTTTTGTGAGTGGAAGAAAATTTTTTATCCCAAAACTACCTTAAACCAATTTCTGAAAACTTAAAAATTTTTGAAGTTTTTTTTTTCCAAAATATGATCATAATTCATAAATAAAAAATATTTTTAATTTTTTTTTTTAAAATGAAGCCAAAATTTTCATGTCAATCATGTGGGTAAGGAATAAAAAGTGGAAGTACAAGTGCACAATGAAAATCTGCGTGCCATATTGTTATTCTGGAGTGAATAGGCGTAACGGCGAAGGGCCAAATATACCTCTGTATTTTCGAAAATGGTTTAAAAATACCCCTCGTTATATTATTAGACTATATATACCATTCCCGTCATACTTTGGAACAAATATATCCTTATTTTGGATGGAGTGCCACGTGTCAGCACCAGATGAAAACGACCCATTTTTTTTTACCCGATCCGTTTTAAAAAACCCACCACCCGACCCGTTTTAAAATTCAGTTTTTTTTTAAAGCATATATTTTGTAAAAACTGAATTTTTTTTTGTAAAAACTGAAAAAAAGGAATTTGCAAAATATATATTTTAAGTCTTTTCAGTTTTTTTAAAGTATTTCTTTTGTAAAAACTGAAAAAAATATTTTTTTTTAAAAATGCTTTAAAAACTGAAAAATATATATTCTGTAAAAACTGAAAAAAAGGAATTTGCAAAATATATATTTTTAAGTCTTTTCAGGTTTTTTAAAGTATTCTTTTTGTAAAAACTGAAAAAAATATATTTTTTTATAAACTGGAAAAAAAAGACTCTCCTAAAGCAGTGGGTTACATATGCATTAGTTTTAAAAAAATAAA